CTTCGTAAATAAGCAAAATTGCCGCATTTGGAGTGAAGAGCAACCAGTACATCTATGTACATCTTCAAATTCAATGTCATTTGCTATAATCTAATTATTTGGCCCTATTATGATTGTCGACGTCAAAAAATAGACGTTGGCGTCGACAGCCATAATAGGGCCGATTCAAGGCGCATTGGCCGATTGTTGTAAATAAATACATACATATGTATAAACAAGAGAAATAGTGGATTAAATAGTTATCGAACCAAGTCGCTTGTTATTTTTTGAAGAACTTTAATTGAGCGTATTTATTATACGTACATAAGTATGTTTAATAACAAGTATGCAACTACATATGTATTTATGTATGTACACATGCACATATGTATGTACATACATACATCCAAATGCATTGCATACTACACTTATATCAGGTTTTGAACTAATAAACAAATACAGAACTTTGGAGGAAACTTACTCACTTATGCATATATACTTGATACTTAACATATTTGTATGGCAATGTACACTGAATCGTCAATTACCGTACCTAAAAATTCCAAGCCGTACTTTTTCATCAATACTACTACTAGTTAATTCGTACCAAAACGCACTCAAATAAAGCTTTAGAGTCATTTTTAATGGAAACTATATCTCAGTGTGATAAGACTATACTTAGGAATTTTAATTGTGTAGTAGTGGCTTCTTTTTTTTTAAATATGTAGTCTGTACGAAAAAAATCCATTGACTTAAGAATATTTTATACACAGTTTCACTTACTACTTTACTACTTACAAAACTGAATATATTTATTTGTTTTTGATCATAAATACTATTTGTGCGTATTCGTTTTTCCCTCAGTAGTCGAGTTTTTATATAATTCGCGTTCAGGGCTTTAACTTAGAATATCTAGTTTCATGCATATACATACATATAGTTAATTATTTGCTAAATAAAATGAGTAACAGTATTGAGAAAATCTTAATCCTTAAGCTTTGTATTTTAAATACATACATAGATCTATGTACATATGTATGTGCCTTTTATTATGTTGTGTTGGTTTAGCTATCAAAGCAACAACAGTTTCGATGTTGAAACGAAAAAAAAATTATAATCCAATTTCATATGTAAATATATAAACTGTGCTTTATCTTAACTATACTGAAATTGCTAGAGTTTTATAAAAAGATTACATTTTCGTCAGGGTTCAATTTAATATCTTTGGTTAAGGGATATCTTATGAGTACAATATAAGGACATTGTTCCTTTTCGGACATTTAAATATATATATACAGTATCGGTCATATCTATAGCACGCTATTTCAAAGTGATATTGTGTGCCACTTATATTTATTTATTTATTTTTTAAGAAGTTTCAATTAAAATACACTTCTTTCTCTAACAAACCCCATATAAATCCAAGTTTAACAATTTGTAGAAAACTTCAAAAAAGTGCAACAAATTTTCACCTAAGTTTCAAACTTTTTTCTCGGAAGTGTTAGAATTTTTTTTGAGTACACAGTTTTTTAGCCACTGCAGTTTTAGTCTGATAATGTGCAAATTTCGAGTGGCTACGAATTACCGTTAATTTTTTAGAATTATTTGTCGCATTGGCGTCCATATAATGAATAATTTATTTGTATATGGATGAAAACCGCAACACCTTTGGCGAAAAAAATTCTAAAAAAAAAGCGGTAACTTTCAGTCACTTGAAACTTGCACATTATCAGACTAAAATTGATTGGGCTAAAAAAGTTTGAAATTTAGGTGAAAATTTGTTGCACTTTTTTGTAGTTTTCTACAAATTGTTAAACTTGGGTTTATATGGGGTTTGTTAGAGAAAGAAGTGTATTTTAATTGAAAATTCTCAAAAATAAATAAGTAAACATAAGTTGCACACAATATCACTTTGAAATGGCGTGCTATAGATATGACCGATACTGTACATACATAAATATACATATGGAACTCTCTCTGTTTGCATATTTTTTTCAAAAAATAAGATTTTAAGAATGGACGTATGTGGGGTGTAACACATACATACATATAATTCAATCTAATACTCTATTAGTGAACTTTTTTGTCGTGTTTTTAAATTAAATATTTACTACATGTGTGTGGTTTTTATTGTTTTTGCTATCCCTACTTTGGCTTTCATCTAAGTATTTTTTTTGACTTTAGTGTTATATAACGATTGCAATTATTAAAAGTTCTAGCAATAAGCAAAACAATTCGCATGTGTCAAAAACAACAGTTTCTTATAAATGAGTTAATTTATGATTAACTATGAAATACTAGTTCGCGTTTAACATTTAAATATTCTTGAAGCTTTGGTGGAATCGGCAGCTTTGGAATTTCTTCAGATGCGGTATGTTGCTGTATAACACGTCGGCACAAGTCCTGCAACTGTGGCATTTTGAAATAGCGACTAAGTGGATACTTCAATATGACTGGACAGGGCGGTTGCAATTCATTCTGTACTTTTACGAAACATACAAAATTATCATTAGTACAACGATATAGAATGTCTTCTATCATTTCCACAATAGATTCGTATTGTAATTCCTCAAAATGCCAATATCCATCACGGTATTCTAAGCGATAATGAAACGTTACGTTCACAATTCGAAAACTTAACGTAAACTGGCAGCCACGAGTTTCCGAATCACGCACCAGAAACGAACCGGTGGGTTTGTCGCTTAGTTGCCTTTGTGCGTCGAGTCTTGATATTTCGCCCCAGTACCAAACTTGGCTAGCGTTGCAATATGAAATATGGAAAACAAATGTTTGATGGTTAGAAAGCTTAAA